TGCATGCTTGTTGTCCCAGCTACTAGGGAGGCTGAGGTGAAAGGATCACTTGAGTCCAGGAAGTTGAGACTTCAATGAGCCATGATCAGGCCATGGTACTCCAGCCAGGGCAACAAAGCACGACCCTGTCTCTAAGTCCTAGCCATTTCTGTTAATAATTCAGAAAACAAAATGTTATTTTTTTCCTTCAAATCTATATGCCCAAAACCTGCCTGTTCCTAACTATGTGCTATCGTTCCATTCATCCAGCAGATTACGACTGCTAGCACCACCCCCTCTGCTGCAGGTTTTCAAAAGTAGCTGCACTTTGAGAGCTCGGCAGTTTGTTTCACTTGATGTTGTGTTCAAGTGACTACAGACAAATACATTCCCCATGGAAATCATACCACAGGCTTTATATAACAGACGTGCAAGATCATGTGGTCAAATGCTTCTCTTCTGGAAGGGTTTTAAGAGCTGTCAATGTAATGTTCAACAGAAAGTACCTTAAGGAGATTCATGCTGACAGCTTGTGTCACAGAGTACATTTTTACCAAATAGCATAAAAAAGCAATATCCTTCACGCCTGTAATCCCAGCACTTTGGGAGGCTGAGGCAGGCAGATTATAAGGTCAGGAGATTGAGACCATCCTGGTTAACACAGTGAAACCCTATCTCTACTAAAAATAGAAGAAATTAGCCAGGCGTGGCAGCACGTGCCTGTAGTCCCACCTAGTTACTAAGGAGGCTGAGGCAGGGGAATTGTTCGAACCCAGGAGACAGAGGTTGCAGTGAGCCGAGATCACACCATTGCACTCCAGCCTGGGCAACAGAGTAAGACTCAATCTCAAAAAGAACAAAAAAAAAAGTGAAAGCAATATTTTAGTTTTTTTGGTTTTTTTTTTTGAGACAGAGTTTCACTTTTAGTTTTTAAACACAAGCAAATGGAGAGCTTAGACCAAACTCTGTAAAATACAGATTGGGCATTCAAATTTAGAACTAAAAACACATTTGAAATATTAATGAAGCCACAGCCTGCCTTTTGCCCTCTCGCATTGCATATGCTTCTGATGGGCAGCAAATTGGCCTTCAGCAATAAATAATGCCAAGTGCAGTGGCTCACACCTGTAATCCCAGCACTTTGGGATGCTGAGGCGGGAGGATCACTTGAGGCCAGGAGTTTCAGACCAGCCTGGCCAACATGGGGAAACCCTATCTCTACTAAAAATACAAAAACTAGCTGGTCATGGTGGTGCACACCTGTAATCCCAGCTACTCGGAAGGCTGAAGCACAAGGATAGCCTGAATCTGGGAGGCGGAGGTGGCAGTGGGCTGCAATTGCACCGCTGCACTCAAGCCTGGATGACAGAGAAAGACTGTTGCAAAAAAAAGAAATATTAATGAAACTAATTATCTGTGCAGATCTTTTCTTTTAGCACAAATACTGGGGATGAATAATATACTTACTATTCAACTTAATATTCGCCAAACAAACCTGGATGCACTGTGTCGTAAGAAAACTGAAAGTCAAGAGGGAATGCATAATACTCCTTGCATTTTTCTTCCTTGGTTGTAAAGCACCACACAGGACAAGCCGCAATGAACCTAGGATGTCTCCCGGCTATCGTACGAGCCGCACACGACCCTGGCCAAAGTCTTTAAAAAGTACTAAAGTAGGAAGACGACAATAACGGCAAATGGTCTCAGTTCTTATTTTTAAGAACAGCTCAAAAAATATTTTTACTTTCTTAAGACAAATGCTCAGCATTTTATTCAGTAAGCATTTACCAAGCACATAAACCTAGTATGTTCGATATTAGCATCCACAGTAATTAAATTTACTTTTAAACAATTAACCCCTCAGATGCATAGTGGCTAAAACACAATAATGTGTAGTATACTTTATGAAAAGCACTCTCTGTTGGGTAAATTACAACAAATAAATGTAAAAAACATTTCTAGGCCCAAAGAATGAAAGAAAGAAAAAAAACCCAGATCAAGAATGGAAGAGAAATGACTTAAAAAAAAAAAAAAAAAACAGTGAGATTAAACCAAGGAGATGAGTAAAGTCCGCATTAATGTCATTTCCTCAGTGCAGCCTCCCGAGTGATGTAAACGCTCTCACCCCCACATCATGTACGTCTCCCTGCCTTGTTTTCACAGCACATGTCACCACCTGATGTACGACATCTCTTCACTGTGGTCTCTGTCCCTCAGAGCGTCATCTCTCTTGGGTCAAGGAAACGCTCTGCTGACAGCTGTCTACTCAGAACCTAGAACAGGGCACAGCATGTAGCAGGCGCTCGATGCATGGCTGACTGATGAGTGACTGCCTGGCACAAGATAAGTTGAAATAAAAAGATAAACTAAGATGCAGACACAAATGCTGGGATGGATGCATTGACATTTTAAAGAATAAGAGGAGAGAGGAACAGAAGGAGGGAGGGAGGGATTAAAGAGTAGGAGGGAAGGAGGGAGGGAGAAAGGGAAGATTCAGTTCAGCTAAGTAAGAAAAAAACATGAAATCCTAAGCAGAAGCTCTAATCGGTCTCAAACATATACATTTATTTGGAAAGGATTTTCATTAATGTAATTTTTAATACAGAAGGATTTCAAACCGTCTTCAATCCCTTAGGAACGTTTTAAAAAAAATAGGGTTCATCCATACTATTTAGCTACTATAAAAAAAAAAATATGGCCAGGCATGGTGGCTCACACCTGTAATCCTAGCACTTTGGGAAGCCAAGGCAGGAAGACAGCTTGAGCTCAGGAGTTTGAGACCATCCTGGGTAACATAGAAAGACCCTGTCCCTTGTTATTTAAAAAAATAATAATTTTGGGAGGGGGAGGTGGGGAGGGATAGCCAGGGGAGAAATGCCAAATGTGGGTGAAGGGGAGAAGGAAAGAAAAGCACACTGCCATGTGTGTTCCTACGCAACTGTCTTGCATGCTCTGCTCATGTACCCCAAAACCTAAAATCCAATAAAAAATTTAAAAAAATAATAATAATAATAATTTTTTTTTTTTTTTGAGACAGAGTTTTGCTCTGTTGCCAGGCACCAGGCTGGAGTGCAATGGCACAATCTTGACTCCCTGCAACCTACACCTCGCAGGTTCAAGCAATTCTCCTGCCTCAGCCTCCCGAGTAGCTGGGACTACAGGTGCCCACCACCACACCCCGCTAATTTTTGTATTCTAGTAGGGATAAGGTTTCACCATGTTGGCCCGGATGGTCTCAATCTCTTGACCTCATGTCCACCCATCTTGGCCTCCCAAAGTGCTGTGATTACAGGCATGAGTCACCATGACTGGCCAAATAATAAATATTTTAAAATAAAAATTAAAAAAGACACCAGACGTGGTGGCTCATGCCTGTAATCCCAGCACTTTGGGAGGCCAAGGCAGGCGGATCACGAGGTCAAGAGATCGAGAGCATCCTGAGCAACATGGTAAAACCCATCTCTACTAAAAGTACAAAAATTAGCTGGGTGTGGTGGTGTGTGCCTGTAGTCCCAGCTACTCGGGAGGCTGAGGCAGGAGAATCACCTGAACCCGGGAGGCGGAGGTTGCGGTGAGCCGAGGCTGCACCACTGCACTCCAGCCTGGCAACAGACTGAGACTGTCTCAAAGAAAAAGGAAGGAAACAGTACATTTTTAAGTATGATGTGGAAAGAAGCCCATATTGCGTAATACCTCTACATTAAAAACTACCAAGTACTACTGAGAGAAATTAAAGACATCCTTTAATATCAAAGGGATATTTGACATTTGGGCTTGGCTGGTTCAAAAGAAAAAAATAACAGACTTTAGGACAAAAAAAAAAAACCACAGTTTTAGAGACGAAGACCATAACTATAAAAACAAAACGTTCAATTCACCAAGGGTTGACAATTATAACTTTTAGTCATCTACAACTGACAGAACTAAAGGGAAAATGGAAAATCTACTACCATCCTGACAAATCTGAACATGCCTCTCTTAGTAAATAATTAGACAAAAAAATTGGAAATGACTGAAAGATTTAAACCACATAATGATTAAATGTGAATGGACATGTATAGACCTACACCAACAATTAAAGAATATACATTCTCCTGAAACACACATATTATATATAAAATGTTATATATATTATATACATAAAATATAAAATATAAATATAAAATACAATATATAATGCATATGTTATATATATTATAGTATATTTCATATTGTATATATTATATAATATATATAACAAAAATATATATTTGTTGTTGTTGCTGCTGCTCTGTTGACCAGACTGGAGTGCAGTGGTGCAATCTCAGCTCACTACAACTTCTGCCTCCTGGGTTCCAGTGATTCTCCTGCCTCAGCCTCCCAAGTAGCTGGGATTGCAGGCACATGCCAACAGGCCCAGCTAATTTTTTGTATTTTTTAGTAGAGATGGGATTTCATCCTGTTGATCAGACTGGTCTCCTGACCTCAGGTGATCCACCTGCCTCAGCCTCCCAAAGCACTGGGATTACAGGTGTGCACCACTGGGCCCAGCCCTATATAATATATATTTTCTGACTGATCATGATAGTAAGTCATAACTCAAGTTTCAATGCCATGATGGCCGTGCTTTCTGATGAAACAGAATTAAATTAGTAATTGAAAACATAATTTTAAAACTTGTAAATATTTGGAAATTTAAAAATATATTTCTAAGTAATTCAGGTATTAAAGAATATACAAGGCAAATTTTAAAATAACTGTACAAAAATAATAAGTACATATCAAAAAGTATGGCATAGAACACGGCACAGTGGTTGGCACCTATAGTCCCAGCCTGTACTCCTGGCTATTCAGGACCTGAAGCAGGATCACCTGAGCCCACAAGTTTGAGACTGAGGCCTGCCATGACAGTGCCTGCAACTAGACACTCTACTCCAGCTGGGGTAACACAGCAAGAACCCGTCCATCTCTTAAGAAAAACAACAACAACGACGAACCTAATTTTTTTTAAGAAAATATTTTTAATGTATAACAGCTCATACCCAGCCACCTTGCTGAATGATGTACTCTGCCGAATAGTCTTCCAGATACGTCACGCCAAACTTCAGCAGTGCACTCAAAGATTCTTGACCACGCCTTGTCAACTCCAAAAGCATTTGTCGCAGCAAAACCAGAGGCACCAAAATCTTCAATGCAAAGATGAGAGAATTAAAAAAAATACCGAAATTCTTATAATGTTTTATATGTTCAACTACTAGAAAATTATACTTAGATACATCATTATGACATTTTATTTTCATTATATAAAAGAAATAAAACAGTAACTTCTATTATGATTTTGCTGAATAGTGCATGTAGGTTTTATACAATAGGAAGGTAGAAATAGTTATTGAAAATAATTAGGTATGTGTGTGAGAAATATAGAAGGAAATTCACTAATGCATTACTAATTATTATTATTATTATTTTTTTGAGATGGAGTCTCACTCTTTCACCCAGGCTGGAGTGCAATGGCATAATCTCAGCTCACTGCCGCCTCCGCCTCCCAGGTTCAAGTGATTCTCTGCTCAGCCTCCTGAGTAGCTGGGATGACAGGTATGCGCCATGATGCCTGGGTAATTTTTGTATTTTTAGTAGAGATGGGTTTCACCATGTTGGCCAGGCTGGTCTCAAACTCCTGGCCTGAAATTATCTACCCGACTTGGCCTCCCAAAGTGCTCGGATTATAGGCAGGTGTCACCATGCCCAGCCTAAAGCATTGTTTTTTTAATTTCTTTTTTTAGATGGAGTCTCACATTGTCACCCAGGCTGGAATGCAGTGGCGCAATTTTGGCTGCCTACAACCTCTGCCTCCTAGGTTCAAGCCATTCTCCTGCCTCAGCCTTTCGAGTGGCTGAGATTACAGGCACCCACCACCAGGCCCAGCTGATTTTTCGTATTTTTAGTAGGGATGGGGTTTTACTACGTTCGTCAGGCTGGTCTCCAACTCCTGACCTCATGATCCACCCCGCCTTGGCCTCCCAAAGTTCTGGGATTACAAACGTGAGCCACCACGCCCGGCCCAGCACTATTTATAATAGCAGAAAACTAGAAAAATAACCCAGTAGGGACTAGTTAAATAAATTATGGTCATCCAGTAAAATATGCAGCTGTTAAAAAGAATTAGATTGCTCACTACTCAATCACTAGGATTTACTTTAAGTGAAAAAAGGCAAGATATATAGTACAGTACCATTTGTATAATAAAAAGGTATACACATATATATATTTATATAATCCTACAGTATCTCCGGAAAAATACACGAGAAACTGGTAATAGTGGTTGCCTAAAAGGAAGGGAACTAGGTGACTGGCAACGAGGGAAAGAGAAAACTTTTATTTTTCAAACCGTATCTTTCTGTGCTTTTTTGCATTTTGTACCACGTGCTTTTATTATTTTATATTAAGAACTTTTAAAAATTAAGAGCTATCTTATAAAAGTCATCCAAAGTCAAACTTAAGAGAGGCCATTAAAATCTATACCTAATGACTGTGTGACTCAATACTTAAAAGTCGTCAAAATGTGTAACAGAAAATAACTAGAGTCCCTGTCCTCCTTTAAAAAAAAAATTGCATATTGAAAAAACTATTCAGCTAGTCATCTGCATGCAGCCTCTTGTCTAAAACATCAAGGTCCGTATGCCCGGAAAAGGAGTGCAAAAGGAAATGAAACCCATTCCAGTTCCTTATTAGTAGACTGCTAAGGAAATACCTGAGAGGAGGACAAACAAAACACAATGAGTTATATTTCATATTAACATTCCCTGGCTTCTAAAGAAAGGAAAAGAAAGCAGCCCTGAGGGAATCTCTACCGAAGTCTGCAAGGAAGAATGCAACAAACACATAATATCTTTACTTCTTGACATTCGAGAGGCACTCCAGCCCAAAATACATTGAAAACTCCTTAACACTGATGGAGTAGTATAGGGCTATAAAGAATAATACATCAGGCATTTCCAAAACAGGAAAACTTATACAAGTAAACAAACCAAAATCTGTTCACATTTTGCCTTGGGTAGGAGCAGGCAGGAGTGGCTTATGAACCAGTGGTGCTAATCTGTGTATCAACTTAAAGGCCCGGGATGTCCTAGACTTCAAAACATTCTAATTTCCCATAATAATTCACAATAACATAACCTTTTAAAGTTATTCATGTTTAAGCTCTATTACCTCCTGGGGAAATGAGTTGTAAATAATTTATGCTTGTTATATAAAATACCACTCAGCATTATTTGTTCCAAATTTAACTCTTTCATATATTGAAAAGCAGACACCCTAATTTTACTATGTAAGAATCTAGTGATAAATCTGCAATCCTTTTTTACTCCTGGAAGAGGAGCAAAGAGTCTCATTCCTAGACTTCCAGTCTGAAATCCACTACTCTCTTAGTCTCTTTGTCATATGGCCATTGCTCCACTGCAATGCAAAGTGATCCATTTGATCACTTAAGTTCCCTTTTCTGGATCTTCCCTATTCCACTATCTTTCTTGAAACAAAGTAACCACAGTGCAGAAATGTCATTTTCCAGGAGGGACATTTTCTATTTGGTGGGCAATACGCTTCTGGTGGTACATGCTATGTCAGATGATTCATTTTTCCCCTTCAGGCTGCATACAGTCACTAAATTGCTACTATATGCCAGGCTTACCTATTTGGCATGCTATCTTCAGAGACCTGTATGATGACGCCCAAGGCCACTGTACCATTTAGATTGCCTTTAAGCAGCTAAACCCTAAGAGGATTTACCCATAATCCTACACGCAAAGCTCCATGAGTTAATTCTACAACTGACCTCCATCAACCTGACATTTTACTATCCACAACAATTTTACATCATCTGCACAACTCATTATTTTGTACTCCCCTCCCATATTATTTTTTTAATGTTAAAACAAAACTAGATCCCCAGGCATCCACTCCTAAAATATTCCACAATTCACATGTCTAGGTCTAAAAAGTCAGCAAATAGTCTTATCTTTGATTCTTTCTCAAAAGTCATTTCCTTACTGGTTAACAGTAATCCCCACATCATATATATTGTTTTTTCTTCAATTGGTTTTGCAATGAAATGCTAAAGTATTTTTGACCATCAAAACAGATGACCTCCACGGGCTCACCTTTATCCACAGTTATTTAACCCCCTGACGTCTCAGCATGCACTACGTGTTCTCTTTGTCTAACAGGCTACACCTGCTTAAATTGAGTAACATCATCCTTTTATTAAAGAACACATGAGCTTCTTGGTATAGAAATGAGGCATACTAATTTACAGTTCTAAGAGTCCCTCTCATTATACTGGATATTTATGATAATAGTAACATACTTTGTTCTACCAATCTACTAGTTAACCCTTCTATGACTTAACTGTTCTAATAAAAATTATATTCTACAAATTTTATCTGTATCGAAGTCATTGATGAGGTTTGTCTTTGATTTATGTGCTTCAAAATAAAATGTAGGAGAAAAATAGATATTATTTGTCACCTAGTATGATGCATGCAATAGGAAACAGATAAAACCACCCATGAGGTATTCTTGCCAAAAAGATTGAACTGAATCTGATCAGGAAGGAAACACAGACACAGAAGAACATGTTAAGTGACATCTCAGTGACATAGTCAATAAAATCCAGAAAGCAGAGAAGTTTACAGAAAAAATAACTTCTTTTTTTTTTTTTTTTTTTTTGAGACGGAGTTTCGCTCTTGTTACCCAGGCTGGAGTGCAATGGCGCAATCTCGGCTCACCGCAACCTCCGCCTCCTGGGTTCAGGCAATTCTCCTGCCTCAGCCTCCTGAGTAGCTGGGATTACAGGCACACGCCACCGTGCCCAGCTAATTTTTTGTAATTTTTAGTAGAGACGGGGTTTCACCATGTTGACCAGGATGGTCTCGATCTGTTGACCTCGTGATCCACCCGCCTCGGCCTCCCAAAGTGTTGGGATTACAGGCTTGAGCCACCGCGCCCAGCCTGAAAAAATAACTTCTAACTAAATGAGAGAGAGGAATAAAAGAGGGAGGATAAGTCTACGTATTAAAAGAGACTTGAGTCACATATTATATTACTCCTTTATTTGAAATGTCCAGAATAGACAAATTCATCAAGACAGAAAGTCGAGTCATTGTTGCCGGGGGCTGGGAGGAGCAGGAAAGGAAATGGGAAGTAACTACTAATAGGTGGAGTGACTACTAATAGGTATGGGCTTTTCTTTTTTTTTTTTTCTGAGACAGAGTCTGGCTCTGTTGCCAAGGCTGGATGGAATACAGTGGTGTGATCTCGGCTCACTGCAACCTCTACCTCCCAGGCTCAAACCATCCTCCCACCTCAGCCTCCTGAGCAGCTGGGAATACAGGTGCACCCTGCCTGGCTTTTTTTTTAGAGACAGGGTCTTGCTATGTTGCCCAGGCTGGTCTCGAACTCCTGGGCTCAAGTGATCCTCTGCCCTTCCAAAGTGCTGGAATTACAGGTGTGAGCTACTGCCCTTTATAAATCTATTCCAGCACTTTGGGAGGCTGAGGTGGGAGGATCACCTGAGGTCAGGAATTCGCAACCAGCCTGGCCAACTTGGCAAAACCCTGTCTCTACTAAAAGTACAAAAAGTAGCCAGGCATAGTGGTGGGCGTCTGTAATCCCAGCTACTCAGGAGGCTGAGACAGGAGAATCATTTGAACCCAGGAGGCAGAGGCTGCAGTGCGTCAAGATCGTGCCACTGCACTCCACCCTGGGCAACGAGGCAGAGGCTGCAGTGCGTCAAGATCGTGCCACTGCACTCCACCCTGGGCAACAGAGTGAGATTCTGTCTTTTAAAGAAAAAAAAAAAAAAAGGCCATACACGGTGGCTCACGCTTGTAATACCAGCACTCTGGGAAGACGAGGTGGACAGATCTCGAAGTCAGGAGAGTTACAGACCAGCCTAGCCAACATAGTGAAATCCTGCCTCTACTAAAAATACAAAAATTAGCTGGGTGTGGTGGCAGGCACCTGTAATCCCAGCTACTTGGGAGGCTAAAGCTGGAGAATCGCTTGAACCTGGGAGGCAGAGGTTGCAGTGAGCCAAGATCTCGCCACTGCACTCCAGTCTGGGCAACAGAGCTAGACTTTAGCTCAAAAAGAAAAATCTATTTCATATGTCAAAATGAGAGATGTTTTCTCTTATTAAAAAAAAAAAAAAAATGAGGCAAATAGATACCTTAACAAATTATATACCAACAGGTAACACACGAAGACTCTATTACAAATAGTGACTATTTGGGAATGAGGTCCCATGTGTTGAAGCTGATGTAACAGCTGCTGTTTACTGAGCTTTGCTATAGTGCAGATAACATGCTAATAAGCACTGAACACGTATTATCTAATTCTAATAAAACCTATGAGGCTACTATAACTGTTTCCCATTTCACAGATGAGAAAACTGAGAGTCAGAGAGCTTCATGTGACAAAACTGGAAGTACACGTCCCCTGAATCTAAAATAAAAGTTGAAATTTTTTTTTAAAAAGGAACTAGCACAGACGTACATCCAGTCCATGGCAAAGCTAAGACAAGTTTGATTACATACTAATACCCAGCAATCAGGTAGAGGGCACATGGTCTGACTTGTAAGACAGACAATTCTGAGCAGAGGTAGGTGTCTGTAGAAGTAACTGTCCTGAATTTTCTCATCTCCGGCACTGTATCCCTCAGGGATGCCCTTCTTTCTCATATTGCACTGAGCCACCCTGTGCTGCATTCCCTCACACCCTGCCTTCTCAAGGTGCTGAGGAGATAATACAGTCTAAGACAGTAGATAAGTAATATTACAGTGAAAAAAAACAGAGCCCAGAATCAGATCTTAGCTCTAGTGTTAGTTCCAATATTTACTAGTCAAGGGATTCGAGGCAAGGCATTTAACTTTTCTTTCTGATTACCTACCTAACTAGCTAAATAATAAACAAGACCTAATAAAATCCATTCTGTCTCTGCAAAGGATGGTTGGGATGCTCAGAATGGGATGTGACATGAGACTGTGTGAGTTATAAAACACAAATGGTGTTATTCATCTAAGAGAACAGGAAGAGGCTACCACCCAAGTGAAGTCTTTATTCTTTTCCCCCAAGACACACTCACATGTTAATAAAGATAGAACCATCTGGAGATAAACGTCATGTCTAACACAGAGAAATGAAGAAGTGATGGGAAATTCAGGACAGAAAGGATGGGGCCATCCTATAGAACCCATAATTTTGAGTCAAGTAGAACCTTGCAGTGTTAATTTAAAAAACTAGTTTAACCAAAAAGATCCATTTAACATAGATTTATGCATTAAAGAGCGAGCTCTAACTGTTTTCTGCTACATGACACTAGCAATTCCTCCTACATCTTATCATTAACACAGTAAATGATACAGTAAAACCCTTTAAGAGAAAAGATCATTGTGTTGATACCTTATTCCAGCCGCTGGCATGAACTGCGGTCTCCAGTGTACATTCCCGAAATGCCTGATATGTCACTGGCCTGTAGAGATTTTTTTAAAAGTCTGTGTCACAAAGAAGGAAAATTCTAAATTTCCAGATGAATAAATATACAGTCACTGCTCTGTTGAACTTTTTGCTAAAGTGACAAGGATTATTCAACATACTGTTTTGCACAAGATGCGGCTTTTCACAATGGTATGCACTTTTGCAAGCATTCTATTAGCTGTGATGCCTGCCTTGGAAATAGTTAATAAAATAAATGTATATTCTAATAATTTTTTGTAACTGCTTAGAACTTATGTGATAGAATTTTTATGTTGCAAAGAAATACCTGAATTATTAATACAGGATCAAATAACTAAAAATAATCTCATTAGTACAATGAAAACCAGAATGTTAATGTTTTTTAAAGGCAAAAAACCCAAAATATTTTAAAACTAAAGGGACATGTCATTGGAAGTCTTCTCATATTGAGGAGCTAAGAGCTAAAATAAATATTGCAATAAATTGTGATATCCTCTTTTAAATTTTGTAACTAAAAAAATTTTTTTTGGCTGGGCACAAAATCCCAGCACTTGGAGAGGCCGAGATAGGCAGATCATGAGGTCAGGAGATTAACACCATCCTGGCCAACATGATGAAATCCAGTCTCTACTAAAACACAAAAAAATTGGCTGGGTGTAGTGATACACACCTGTAGTCCCAGCTACTGAGGAGGCTGAGGCAGGAGAATCACTTGAACCCAGGAGGCGGAGACTGCAGTGAGCCAAGATGGTACCACTGTGCTCCAGCCTGGTGACAGAGCGAGACTCCGTCTCAAAAATGGAGTCTCCCATATTCCCCAGGCTGGTCTCAAATTCCTTGGGCCCAAGTGATCCTTCCACCTTAGCCTCAGTGCTAGCTGGGATTACAGGCCTGTGCCACCACCCCCAGCTGGAGTCCTATTTTTAACTAAAAATAGGAGTGTTATGATGATACAAGGGTAGAGAGACAAGCCTGTCTGATTATTTGTACGTAAGTCTTAGTAATACCAAAACCTCGAATCACTGAAGATAACACTCATTTGCTGAGTGACTTCAAGTACTTTAAGTACTGGTTTCATGCATAAAATTTAAAAACAAAAGACTTGGTGTCAAGTAACCCATGAAGGCATCAATTGCTCAGATAATAGATTAAAAATTAAAACTAGGAATTAAAAATTAATAGATTAAAAATTTACCTTCCCTCCTTTTGGACAAAATATTAACAAACATGTAAGAAAGAATGTGTCAGGCACAGTGGCTGACGCCTGTAATCCCAGCACTTTGAGAGGCCAAGGCAGCAGATCACTTGAGGTCAGGAGTTTGAGACCAGCCTGGACAACATGGTGAAACCCCATCTCTACTAAAAATACAAAAATTAGCTGGGCGTGATGGCTCACACCTGTAACCCCAGCTACTCCAGAAGCTGAGGCAATGGCTTGAAGCTGGGAGGTGGAGGTTGCAGCAAGCCAACACTGCACCATTGCACTCCATCCAGCCTGGGCAATAAGAGCAAAACTCAAGAAAGAAAGAAAGACATGAAGGAAAGGAAGGAAAGGAGGGAAAGGAGGAAAGGAAGGGAAAAAGGGAAAGAAGGAAGGAAAGAAAGGAAAGGAAGGGAAGCAAGGGAGGGAGGAAGGAAAGGAGGAAAGGAAGGAAAGGAAGAGAAGAGAGGAAAAGTAAAGGAAGGAAAGGGGAAGGGGAAGGGAAAGGGAAGGAAAGGGAAGTGGGGCGCAGAAGGAAGAAAGGAAGGAAGGGAGGGAGGGAGGAAGGGAGAGAGTCTTAATTTTGTAGGGTTTTAAAATCTCACCGCAAAGGCATTTTTCTGCTCTGACCACTGTGGCCTATGATCTCTTTAAGTTTAAGAATATTTAAGATTGGCCAGGTGCAGTGGCTCATGCCTGTAATCCCAGCACTTTGGGAGGCGAAGGCGAGTAGATCACAAGGTCAGGAGTTCAGAAAGACCAGCCTGGCCAAAATGATGAAACCTGTCTCTATTAAAAATACAAAAATTAGCCAGGCATGGTGACGGGTGACTGTAACCCCAGCTACTCAGGAGGCTGAGGCAGAGAATTGTTTGAACCCAGGAGGCAGAGGCTGCAGTGAGTCGAGACTGCGCCACTGTCCTACAGTCTGGGTGACAGGGCGAGACTCTGCCTCAAAAAAAAAATTTAAGACTGATAATAGCTACCACTTAATGGTAGCCTATTATGTTAGGTTTTAGCATTTTATATATTCATATTTTATATTACATATCATCACATCACACACTGGGAAACCAAAGCTCAGAAAAGGTAAGAAATGATCCCAAACCCACACAGTTGGAAAGCAGCAAGGCAGGAATTCACGCTGTTAGAGCTGGTATCACTGGCTGCTGCACTACTCCCACTTCAAGTTAGGGTTCTGACACATGCCATGACAGTGTCTAGATGTCACGTGTGGCTAGCAGGCATTAGAAATGTGGCTAGTGTGCTGAAAGTATATAATATACACACTAGATTTCAAAGAGTAAGAAAAAACAACGCAAAATCTCTCAGTAATTTTCTGTACTGAATACATGATGAAATATTTTAGATGCATTGAGCTAAATGAAATATTAAAATTTTACTTTACTTTTTTACATGACTGCTAGTTTTTAATTCCATTATGTGTGACTTCCACTGAATAGCACTGGTCTAGATATCTCAGAAAAGAATCCCGAAGATACAGGTATCATTCTTTTACCTGCAACAAATCAATGCTACAGTGATGCTGAAAGGAAATGAGACAGCAGAGATGGCCTCTATCATGACGAAATGTATACAGCACACACCGTCTTCCTAATCTCACCTTCCCATTAAAGTGAGCCTAGTACTTTTTAGATGCCTTGGGCTACGTAGCAGATTCATGTAAAACTTGAACTTCAGCAGATATACACAGTCTTCCTACCTATATTCTCCCTGAAGCTTTACTTGCATATATCAGTCCCTTTACCTCCTTTCCTGAACTGTTTGGTGCTGCTGGGGGTCACAGTAGTCCTTACTGGTTGTTTGCCTAATAGGCTAAAGGATTTTAGCATCATTCTGAATGAAACGCGATTTGAAACATTACATACACAGACACGTATGCATGAAAAATGCAGCAGTTTAAAACATTCAAAGAAAATCTAATACAGAGAAAAGTAGCTAAATAGCCAGTCCTACCTAGTGAGCTATTAGAATAGAGCGGGGAAGAAAAGAGTGGGCAGGATACCTTTTTGAAACAGCTGTTGTTCTTTATTTTTGAGATGGAGTCTCGCTCTGTCACCCAGGCTGGAGTGCAGTGGCACAATCTCGGCTCACTGCAACCCCCGCCTCCCAAGTTCAAGCAATTCTCTGCCTCAGCCTCCTGAGTAGCTAGGATTACAGACGCACACCACCACGCCCAGCTAATTTTTGTATTTGTAGTAAAGACGGGGTTTCATCATGTTTGTCAGGCTGGTCTCAAACTCCTGACCTCGCGTTCTGCCTGTCTCGGTCTCCCAAAGTGCTGGGATTACAGGCGTGAGCCACCGCGCCCAGCCTGTGGTTCTTTTTTAAGAAGGGTTCGGCATTAACTTCCTACACTAACAAAACCTTTTGAAGGAATCAGTGGTATTTTCTACCTTACGATATTCCTTCAACCTTTGTAATACTTCTAGTTTATATAGTTTATCATCCATTAGTTATTTTCAGGTAGTAGTAACAGAGCTTAAAACTTCTAAAACTAGATTTCTGAAAAAAGAAAGAGACCTAACTTTGATACATAACCAGTTTCAAAAATAATTCTATCAAGATTTGGGAAAAAAATAAACATTCATCTAAGACAATCCTCCTTTAAACAGATTTTGCAGTGAGATCAATTTTTCCTACAGATTATAAAAAGGACTTTAGAAACAATACTTTTAAAAGTTATATAACACTGTTTTTTGAAGAGCTTACACTATACCATAAAGTTAAAATTAACACATGGAGAACTGAAATGTTAAGGGTGAAATGGTTTGCTCCAACCCAAAGTCTGTATGAAATTTGGGAAAAGATTCTTTTGTCTACACCATTCACTTCGTTACTTTACTCCCAGTCACGATAACGTTTACATTTTTGTGGGGAGAGGAGTGAAGCAGCACATTTCTTTCTTCAAGTCTTACATGTAACCTCAGATGATAAAATATATGAAAGTACACGTGCTTTGGTTTAAGAAGAGTGGGTGGGTGGGTGGGTGGGTGGATGGACAGATAGATAAGGCTAGGTACAATGGCTCACACCTGGAATCTCAGCACTTTGGGGAGGCTGAGGTGGAAGAGTTGCTTGAGGCCAGGAGTTATGACTAGTTTGGGCAACACAGTGAGACCCTGTCTCTACACAAAATTTAAAATAAATAAATAAATTTTTTAGAGCAGAGTGGAGAGGCCCTAATGAGCCCAATCCACTCGCTCTACCCATCACGTCTTCAGGACCCCTGTAACACCTGTCAATGCCTAAGGCTCCACAGAACCCTTTTTGAAAACCACTGCTGTAAATCCAAATTTCCTGTATAAAGTTTCATTCCCCAATACCCATATACTTCTCTCCACATTTATATTTAAATTTTACTATGTATTAAGAAAATCCAAATACTATTTTTTAAATGTTTGTTTTACAGACAAGGTGTTGCTGTGTTGCCCAAGATGCAGGATACAGTGGTGTGATAATAGCCCACTGCAGCCTCAAACTACTGGGCTCAAGTGATCCTCCCACCCCAAACTCCCAAGTAGCTGCGACTACAGGAACATGCCACCACATCTGGCTAATTGTTTACAAATTTTTTGTAGTGACAGGGTCTGGCTATGTTGCTTAGGCTGGGCTTTAATTCCCAGCCTCAAGCAATCCTCCCACCTGAACCTCCCAAAGTACTGAGATTATCAAATACGATTTCATTTTACTGTCTAAATGTAATTAGTATTTTTACATTTGCTCATTTCACAATATTATGCAGCAAAAAAATTAAATTCTCCTAAAACCCAAATTTCTTTCTTCTAGCAAATAGTAATCTATATATACTTTGCTTACATGAAAGTAAAAAAAAAAAAAATTTTTTTTTTTTTTTTGACATGGAGTCTCCCTCTGTTGCCCAGGCTGGAGTGCGGTGGCACGATCTCGGCTCACTGCAACCTCCACCTACTGGTTCAAGCTATTCTACTGCCTCAGCCTCCCAAGTAGCTGGGATTACAGGCACCTGCCACCATGCCCCACTAATTTTTGTATTTTTAGTAGAGATGGGGTTTCACCATGTTGGCCAGGCTGGTCTCGAACTCCTGACCTCAGGTGATCCACCTGCCTTGGCCTCCCAAAGTGCTGGGATTACAGGCTGATTTTTAATATTTATAATAAAAGACTTGGTTCTATTTTAATACTTTCCTTATTACTAGCTTCTTGCCTTTAGCTTGAAAGAAGTTCCTTCTGTAGGAATGCAGAAGCAGTTCCATGGACAGATGCATAACCCTAAAGTTTAGCAACTTCTGTGATATAATTTTAAATGCAGAATTCTAAAATACAGATATAATGTTAATCCCACATTACAATGCACAAAACCCTAGCCATGGGTTTTATATTCATGTCGCCACTAGAGGAAATGGCAGTAAAAAGTGGTCAGGGGAAGTGAAATAGCTTGTATCTACAACTCGTAAAAGCATTTCTTAAAACCTAATAGCTCAACATACAAATACAAATTAACAAATCTATGTTGGAATAGCTAAGTCACTCCTATAAAGCAAAACTGTCATTCGAAACACAGATGCTTTCAGAAAGCGAATTAAGAAAATGTGAGGAAAAGGGACAAAAGAAGTGTCACTGTTCACCTAAACAAAGCCTTAACCAATCCAGCGCTCATGAGAGATCCGAAGACTACTCAGAGAAGCACATCCCACTCAGCAATATAACTCACTGGCTCAGGAGCATGTGTAATGCTTTATGGAGAGGCTCTTTCAGTTCCTGGGACACTTTTTCTCCAAGATGGGCCAGGCAGTCTTCCATTGAGCTTTCTGGATTGGCAGGGCTGAACACTGGAGAAGTGTGCCGGTCAAAGCCCGTGCTGGTGAAGGCTGAACACAGGACAAAAGAAAAACCTAATATGATAAACAATATCTACAAAATTAGCTGGCCTTGGTGGCACATGCCTGTAATCCCAGCTACTCGGGAGGCTGAGGCAGGAGAATCAACTGAACCTGGGAGGCAGAGGTTGAGGTGAGCCAAGATCACACCTCCAGCCTGGTATGATCAAAAGCAAAACTCCAACTCAAAAAAAAAAAAAACCCCAACATCAGAAGTTGTGCTGGCTGGGTGCACTGGCTCATGCCTGTAATCCCAGCAGTTTCGGCAGCCTAGGCAGGCAGATCGCCTGAGGTCAGGAGTTCGAGACCAGACTGACCAACATGGAGAAACCCTGTCTCTGCTAAAAAATAAGAAAAACATAGCTGGGCGTGGTGGAACATGCCTGTAATCTCAGCTACTTGGGAGGCTGAGGTAGGAGAATCACTTGAACTAGGAGGTGGAGGTTGCAGTGAGCCTAGATCGCACCATTGTTCTACAGCCTGGGCAACAACAGCAAACTCCATCTCAAAAAAAAAAAGCCCAGGCGTGGTGGCTCAGGCCTGTAATCCCAGCACTTTGGGAGGCCGAGGCGGATAGATCATGAGGTCAAGAGATGGAGACCATCCTGGTCAACATGGTGAAACCCGTCTCTACTAAAAATACAAAAATTAATTGGGTGTGGTGGTGCGCACCTGTAGTCCCAGCTACTCCGGAGGCTGAGGCAGGAGAATTGCTTGAGCCCAGGAGGCAGAGGCTGCAGTGAGCCGAGATTGCGCCATTGTACCCCAGCCTGGGTAACAAGAGCGAAACTCCGTCTCAAATAAATAAATAAATTAATTAATTTTTTTAAAAAAAGTTGTGCTATAAAAGCCTAGAGGATTAAGACATCCACTATTAGGAACAAGCTAATCATTACAAGTCCCTTAAAAGGGTTAGATAATCATTGCGGACATTAATTTTTGTTGGCACATAAACATTGATAGGTCATAAATTTAGAGGTTCCTTTAGGTTTTAACGAAAAAGCTTAGTTTCAAGAGAAAAGAAAACAAACCAACGTGTTATAATAGGTTATCAATTTAGTTTATGATTAATGACAAACAAGTATAAAAATGATAAATAACAGGTAATTTCTGGCTCTGTTATCCCTCTACTACAATTTTGTTTTTAAGATTTTGTTGCCGGGCGCGGTGGCTCGCGCCTGTAATCCCAGCACTTTGGGAGGCCGAGGCGGCTGGATCACGAGGTCAAGACATCGAGACCATCCTGGTCAACAAGGTGAAACACCGTCTCTACTAAAAATACAAAAATTAGCTAGGCATGGTAACGCATGCCTGTACTCCCAGCATTTTGGGAGGGCAAGGTAAGCAGATGGCTTGAGTCCAGGAATTCAAGACCAACCTGGGCAACATGGCAAAACCCCATCTCTACTAAAATTACCAAAAATTAAGGCAGGCACAGTGGCTCACACCCAGGATCCCAGCACTTTCGGAGGCCGAGGCAGGTGGATCACCTGAGGTTGGGTGGTCGAGACCAGTCTAACCAACATGGAGAAAACCTGCCTCTACTAAAAACACAAAATTAACTGAGAGTAGTAATACACGCCTGTCATCCTAGCTACTCGGGAGGCTGAGGCAGGAGAATTGCTTGAACTTGGGAGGCAGAGGTTGCACTGAGCCGAGATCTCGTCACTGCTCCCCAGCCTAGGCAACAAGAGCAAAACTCCATCACATGAAAAAACAATTAGCTGGGTGTGGTGGCACATATGCCTGTAGTCCCAGCTACTCACAGGACTCGAGTGGGACAATTGCTTGTGCCCAGGAGGTCAAGATTTCAGTGAGCCTTGATCATGACATTACACTCTAACCTGGGTGACAAAGTGAGACTGTCTCCCTGCCCCCCAAAAAAACCAAATTAGTTAAATAAAGATAAAACTTGAACCCAGAAAAAGCAATCATAACTAGTTGTAGAGACTTAGTCATCACCTGCATAAAATATTTATTGCATAATCTAAGGGTTATTTTACTAGAGTTAAGTATGTATTTCTTTTTTTTTGAGACAGAGTCTTGCTCTTGTTGCCCAGAGTCTTGCTCTTGTTACAATGGCACAATCTCGGCTAACTGCAATTTCCACCTCCCAGGTTCAAGCGATTCTCCTACCTCAGCCTCCCAAGTAGTTGGGATTACAAGTATGTGCCACTACGCCCAGCTAATTTTTTTGTATTTTTAGCACAAAATTTTTTAATACAAAAAATTAGCCAGGCATGGTGGCACGCACCTGTAGTCTCAGCTACTCCAGAGTTTGAGGCAGGAGAATCACTTGAACCGGGGAGGTAGAGGCTGTGGTGAGCCGAGATCACGACACTGCATTCCAGCCTGGGGAACAGAGCGAGACTCTGTCTCAAGAAAATAAAAAAGTTAGCTGGGCGTGGTGGTGGACACCTGTAATCCCAGCTATTTAGGAGGCTAAGGCAGGAGAACTGCTTGATCCTGGAAGGAAGAGGTGGCAGTGAGCCAAAATCGCGCCACTGAATGTCAGCCTGGGCAACAGAGCAAGGCAGTGTCTTAAAAAAAATTATGCAGCTGGGCGCGGTGGCTCACGCCTGTCCCAGCACTTTGGGAGGCCGAGGCGGGTGGATCACGAGGTCAACAGATCAAGACCATCCTGGTCAACATGGTGAAACCCCGTCTCTACTAAAAACACAAAAAATTAGCTGGGCATGGTGGCGCGTGCCTGTAATCCCAGCTACTCAGGAGGCTGAGGCAGGAAAATTGCCTGAACCCGGGAGGTGGAGGTTGCGGTGAGCCGAGATCACGCCATTGCACTCCAGCCTGGGTAACAAGAGCGAAACTCCGTCTCAAAAAAAAAAAAAAATTATGCTAAGTAAAAAATGTCAGTCACAAAAGACCACATAGTGAACTATTCTATTCATGTATATTTCCAGAATAGGCGGATCAATAAAAACAGAATGGAGATGAGCAGTTGACTGGTGTGGGTGGGGTTGAGACCTGGGGCTAGTGGGAATGGGAAGTGGCTGCCAATGTGTACTGCGGCTCTTTCTGTAGGACTTGAAGTGCTCTGAATGTAGACTGTGGTGATAAATTCTGTGACTACACTAAAACCACTTGACTGGACTTTTTTATTATTACTATTTTTAGTAAATAGTGGCATGGTCTCTGCATGTTGCCCAATCTGGTTTTGAACTCAAGGGCTCAAGCAATCACTCTGCCTTGGCCTCCCAAAGTGCTGGGGTTACAGGCATGAGTCCCTGTGCTCAGCCTGAACCGGACCTTTTAAATGGGTGAATTTTATGGTATGTGAAATATATCTCAATAAAGCTGCAAAAATATGTATATCATTGGGCAAGATGTTTCATGCAGCATTACCCACGGAAGGCAAAGGAGGAAATCACGCAAATGCTGTGTAGCAGTAGTCATCCAGTGAAAAAAATAATCCAAACGCTCCCCTCAATAATAAGGGAACAGGCCGGCCAGGCATGGTGGCTCCCACCTATAATCCCAGTGCTCACTGCACTCCAGCCTGGGCAACAGAGCAAGACCCTGTCTCTGAAATAATAGTAGTAGTAATAATAAAAATAATTAATATCATCATCATCATAAGGGAATGACTGAGTAACAACATTTATTCAGTGAATAAAATTTCATGCAATTAGTAAATATTTTTAAAGTTTATGATGTAATGTTAAGAGCGAAAAAAATGGCTATAAAATTAAATGTACAATATAATTAGTTATCTATAGCATAGATATATGCAAAAATAAAAGAAGCATATGCTTACCTTTTCCCTTTTAATGTCATTATTACTTATAAAGGTTAATACCAAATACAAATCAAACCACAGTGAATGGAAAGAACCTTAACATTAACATGATCACGTATCGGGACTTAACATCAGAAACTGCTGCATCTTACCTGTTAGGTATAGCTGGGGCACTTCCATACACATATCCCCCAGAAAAGGAAAAAGGCTACCTTCTACTTTCACCCTCATCAAGTATACCAATAAAAAATTGGTGTAAGTTATTAAATGTTGAGAACACTCCACTGTAAAAATCAAATTAAACCAACACCAAACCACATCTGCTTATTAACTAGGAAGATAAAAACAAACAAACCTTCAGAAATTTCTTTGTCCAGAGATTTTAGCTCTTCTTCAATTTCAGTTTTAACTTTTAATAAAATTTCTTCATCCAGAGACTGTGAAGCCGTATCTAGTTGAATCCCTGAAAGCAACAAAAAAATGTTATCATTGAAAGAGGGAGAGATAAACCTTTAGAATACAATAGCACTTTGTTAAGCCAAAAAAATGCAAAATCAAAATTCATTATCAAAATTAGGCAATGTAGGAAATCCTTTCTACAATAATTTAAAAAAACAAAACAAAACAAAAATAACCTTTAGTAGAAATATTTGGGCCTATCTTTTTTTTTTTGAGACAAAGTCTTGCTGGGGTGCAGTGGTGCAATCTCGGCTCACTGCAACCTCCGCTTCCTGGGTTCAAGTGATTTTCCTGCCTCGGCTTCCCTAGTAGCTGGGACTACAGGCACGTGCCACCATGTCCAGCTAATTTTTGTGTTTTTTAGTAGAGATAGGGTTTCATCATGTTGGACAGGATGGTCTTGATCTCTTGACCTCGTGATCTGCCCGCCTCAGCCTCCTAAAGTGCTGGGATTACAGGCGTGAGACACGGCTCCTTGCCAGGCCTATCTGCTGAGGGTGAGTAAGACTCCACCTTTCCAGATGTTTCTGTCAGAAACAGGGAAATGGAGCTGAAACTTCAGAAATACAACTCAAGAGGAGATTGGGAATGATGTATCAATAAGTGCCAGTCCTCTTTTCATAAACAATGTATCCTTTAAAAAATAAAGTATGAAGATGGAATATGACAAAAACAAAAAGAATTCATGTTACTAATATTGCAGTGGTGGTGGGGGGTGTCCATTCCCCCCACTTCAAATTATATAGATCCACAACTGTATCTCACCTTTGGACACATTTTGAAATGATACACTTCTAGCATTTTACATGTGCTTCATAATTTTCTTTCTTTTCTTTCCCTAACCCCACCCACATCTGAACAGTTAGTTGACTGCTGCTTAGGTCCACAAAGCACACAACTGAGGCTAAAATTCCACCACTAAGGGCATAATGATTTCCTTGTACCAATCACATTAGATTTGTGAGTTATGCTCATCAGCAGTCTCTCATGCTTATTACTGGTTAATTCCATTTTGCTACTAACTTTTCTAAATGCAGCAAGACAGTTACGTATCTTTGAAGTACTAAGGTACAAAAAAAGGTACTGTTGAAGCCTGAAAGCAGTACCTCTGTCATTTGTCAGTCCAATTTCAGGCAAGTTAGTTTTAGTGCTAACAACCCTTTGAGATAGGTATTATTATTATCCTCAGTTTGCATGTGAAAAACCTAAGGCACTGGGAAGAGACCTGACGAAGGATACACTGACAGCTCAGATACAAACCCAGGCAATCAACTTTCAGGGTCTGGGCCCTAAACACTGCACGATGTCACCTCTTGTCATTCTTGCAAGCATGGGCTGTATTAAATCAAACACCCCAAAGTCCAGGCCTGCCTCTACGACAGTGACCACAGCATAGCACTTCTTGGGCTTTTTGAGATTTCAGGCTCTTAGAGAATGTGAATAAAATAATAGCCCCTCCTCCCAGAACATTTGGCAATTTTAGGACATTCATGGAGCCTCTCAGGACCTCTGTAAGTCTCGGTTTAAACACTTCATTAATTACCACCAAATTCTCCTCCTGTCCCTCTCCCTGACTCCACATACCCATGCCCACTGCATAACATAGTCCTCTTTCATTTGGTTAATGTACTACAGTTTTGTACTATTGGTTAACCTGACTTGCTGGGCACAGTGGCTCAAGCCTGTAATCCCAGCACTTTGGGAGGCCGAGGCGGGTGGATCACGAGGTCAAGAGATAGAGACCATCCTGGTCAACATGATGAAACCCCGTCTCTACTAAAAATACAAAAATTAGCTGGGCATGGTGGCGCGTGCCTGTAATCCCAGCTACTAAGGAGGCTGAGGCAGGAGAATTGCCTGAACCCAGGAGGCGGAGGTTGCGGTGAGCCGAGATCGTGCCATTGCACTCCAGCCTGGGTAACAAGAGCGAAACTCCACCTCAAAAAAAAAAAAAAAAAGGCTCCAGGAGGCAGATAAAGAAGAGTAATCTTGGGAAATGAAGGTGAGACAGAGTAGAGAAAGCGGCTTGGCCCCACTGCACTAACGTGTTTTTCCATACATTCTCAATGACTGCCAAACCTTACAGCACCACCCCAACTGGCACCATACCTGCTGACAGACCTTGCAGGTATTGTATGAAGAAACCAGAGGCAGCACCCTGCCGTAAATCTTACTCAAAGAAGTTAGCTCTACCACTCACATGAGCTCAAGGAGAATGACCAATCCTAATCTCTAGTCTCATTATAATGCAAAATCATCACCCAGGAAGGGGCTTATCTGCCACTTTCTGATCATGTGTTAGCATGATTCCTTACTGTGTCTGCACACCCCACATTCCACCCACACATGTAGTGGTGCTCACCTACCTCGTGAATCATGCACTCCCCTCAGAGAGCCAGATGGAGAACCCTCCCTCCCTTAGGTCCAACCTTTCTGGGCATAAGTCTTTTTTCTTTTTTTGAGATGAGGTTTTGCTCTTGTTGCCCAGGCTGCAGTGCAATGGCACATTCTTGGCTCACTGTAACCTCTGCCCCTACCAGGTTCAAGTGATTCTCCTACCTCAGTCTCTTGAGTAGCTGGGATTACAGGCGACCACCACCACGCCCGGCTAATTTTTTGTATTTTTGGTAGAGATGGGGTTTAACCATGTTGGTCAGGCTGGTCTCAAACTCGAGACCTCAGGTGATGCACCCACTTTGGCTTCCCAAAGTGCTGGGACTACAGGCGTGAGCCACTGCACCCAGCCTGTAAGTTTTAATACAACCTGATCTGGGAAACTTCCTTGGCCTTGTGTCAATTTCTATTACACAGGAGCCTAAGAACCTGTGGTTGGTAACAGGTGGAAAAAACCAACAAATAAAAGATTTCTATCCAGAAACTAGAACATAAAGGAGACCAAAATGTTTCTTCTGAAGGTTAAAAGTGGGCAAATTTGGGGGTAAAACAGCGTAGTTCCTTTTATAGCTTTAAAAGCTTATATCAAAAGCTCAAGTTCTCCCTACACTGCAAAAATAGTCTTTCTTGAATAACTTTTTTCTTCTACTTTCAGAGGATTTCAGTACTACAGAGCAAAGATTTCCATTTGAACCAAAAATTTCGGATAAAAAGAGCCAAATTGGCTGGGCACGGTGGCTCATGCCTGTAATCCCAGCACTTCAGGAGGCCAAGGCAGATGGATCACCTAAGGTCAGGAGTTCAAGACCAGCTTGGCCAACATGGTGAAATCCCACCGCTACAAAAAAAAAAAAAAAAAAATTTGCTGGGCCTGGTGGCAGGCACCTGTAATCCCAGCTACTCAGGAGGCTGAGGTGAGAGAACTGGTTGAACCCAGGAGGCAGAAGTTGGACTGTGCTGAGATCACACATTGCACTCCAGCCTGGGCAACAAGAACGAAACTCCATCTCAAAAAATAATAAAAAAGAGCCAAACCAATTGACATATGCAGCAGAATCCACATTCCATCAATAATCCTAGCTTGGTTTTTAGCCAGAGGCATTCAAGGAGGCCAAGATAATTCAGAGCCATCCTAGGAATCTGGCTCATCCCTGGGACTTAAATTCAGGCTTACCTGAATACCCAGAGGATGCTGAATTGTATACTTAGTGATTAACCTTTAGTTAAAGGAGAGTGATTTTTCATTTCCCTAGAGATTTAAGATAAATAACTTGTAGAGACAATGAAGTCCCCACCTGGGTGTAGGGGAATCAGGTATGTCCTGCACATCTACACAGCACAAAAATGAGTAAGATCTGTCCAGCACGTGAAACCATTTACGGTCTGGGGAAGTTGAGGAAGGGCAGGACAACAGCAAACATTTACAAAATACCTGTTAGTTTACAGGCACAGCAGTAAGCATTTCCTGTGTGTTATGTCATTTAATTTCTAAGTCAATGTTAGCAGGGATGAAATAATAGTTCCATTTGAAGATGAGTAACCTGAAGCTTGGATAGGTTCTACCACTACTATTAAAAAGTTACACCTGGAACTCTGGCAAGTCCAACTACAAAATCATTAATCCAGGCTGTGCTCCCACCATCTTCTGGTTGGGTGGCTAGGAACCAAAGATCTCAGACACATTTTTGACAGGATTAAATAGTAACAGAGAGCAGAAAGGTTGTCTAGATCACTGATATTGTCCTCTGACAGGGACTTTCATGTCCCCTTATTTAATCTTCACTTCAGTTGGGTATGGTGGCTCACGCCTGTAATCTCAGCATTTTGAGAGGCCGAGGCAGGAGGATTGTTTGAGCTTAGGAGTGCAAGAACAGCCTGGGAAACATAGCTAGACCTTGTTTCTACTAAAAACCAAAAAACTAGCCAGGCACAGTGGCATGTTACTGTCATCCCAAATACTCAGGAGCCTGAGGTGGGAAGACCGCTGGAGCCGGGGAGGTTGAGGCTGCTGTGAGCCATGGTTGCACCACCGCACTTCAGCCTGAGCCTGGGCAACAGAGCAAGACCCTCTCTCAAAAAAAAAAAAAAGAATCTTCACTTCTATATGTTTTCATTTTCTTTCCTTTTTCTTGGAGACAGTGTCTCGCCCTGTTGCCTAGACTGGAGTGCAGTGGCATTATCATGGCTCACAGCAGCCTCGACCTCCTAGGCTCAAGCAATCTTCCCACCTCAGCCTCTCAAGTAGCTGGCACTACAGATACACACCACCATGCCTGGCTAATTTGTGTGGTGTGGTTTTTTTTTTTTGGTAGAGACAAAGTTTCACCATGTTGGCCAGGCTGATCTCAAACTCCTGGCCTCCAAGGATCCACCCACCTTGGCCTCCCTCATGCTGGGATCATAAGCATGAGCCACCATGATCTCCCTATGTTTTCATTTTTTGCAAGCAAATCAGAGAATCCCAAATTCACAAATGGGCTTTTAATTCTATTAAATTAATAAAATTGGGGATTCCCAGGGGCAGCCAGAGGTGGGGACTTAGCCTCCCAGACCGCTCCGGGAAGGTGTTCTACCATATCTCTCCAGAGCACAAAATCCTGGTGTACCCACGCTACTTCGGCCCCAACTTGCTCAACACGGTGAAGCAGAAGTTCTTCACCGAGGTGGAGGGGACCTGCACCGGGAAGTATGGCTTTGTAATCGCTATAACCACCATTGACAATATCGGTGCTGGTGTGATCCAGCCAGGCCGAGGCTTCCTCCTTTATCCAGTTAAGTACAAGGCTATTGTTTTCCGGCCCTTTAAAAGCGAAGTGGTGGATGCTATTGTCACTCAGGTCAACAAAGTTGGACTCTTCACAGAAATTGGGCCTATGTCTTGCTTCATCTCTCGACATTCCATCCCTTCAGAGATGGAGTTTGATCCTAACTCCAACCCACCATGTTACAAGACAACGGATGAGGATATTGTGATTCAGCAGGACGATGAGATCCGCTTAAAGACTGTGGGGACCCGTGTGGACAAGAATGACATTTTTGCTATTGGCTCCCTGATGGATGATTACTTAAGGGCTTGTAAGCTGAGCCTGGTGGCCTCCTATCCTTGGTCCTGATCTAGGAAGTGTGACTGTCACTCTTACTGCGTCGTCCAGAGGTCCAGTCTGGCTGCTATTGTGGAGGCAAGGAAGGCAACTCATCCCCGGACGGTTCTTCTTTTGGCTTAGCTACTGTTTTCTGATTTTTCAATATGTGTTCTATGTAAAAAAAGCCCTTGGTTCTCATGGAAGTTTTAACCTTTTTTTTTTTTTTTAAAGCAGGAACAGTAACTCTTTAAAAAGGCTATGTAGTTGACTGCTTACTAGCCCCTCTTTCCCTTAGACCGATGCCTCTACTAGCCTCGGCCACCCAGGGGATCTGACTAACCCATTTGTCAAGGTTTAATGTTGACCTCATTGAAGTCAAGGCTCTGACGCTGGGTCTTTGGCTTCTAGCAAATGAATACCATCATCATGGCATTCTGAGTCCTGATCTAATTCCAGAATGCTTGCCCGTCTCCTGCCCTTAAAAGTAACCAAGAGTATAACTGAGAAAGAAAGGAGAGAAGACAGCAGACAGGGAGAGATGAACAAGAGACTAGTAATGACAGAGGTTGTGGGGTCTCAACACAGCCTTTCCTAAGATGCATATCTAAACAACAGTATATCACTATTCTAAACTGAAATAAAAATGTAAAAGGGCTCAGAATCTAGTTAAGGTAACACAAAAATGTATGAAATGCCTACAGGATTAAATAAACATGCCACTTTTCCCTGACACTAATAAAAAAAATAAAATTAATTTAATTCTATTAATAAAAGTCAAGAAACTCCATTATTCTATAATCTGTGGGTATTTAAAATACCTTTAAAAAAGGCTAAACTTTTTTTTTTTTTTTTTTTTGAGACAGAGTTTCACTCTTCTTGCCCAGGCTGGAGTGCAATGGCGCGACCTCGGCTCACGGCAACCTCCGCCTCCTGGGTTCAGGCAATTCTCCTGCCTCAGCCTCCCGAGTAGCTGGGATTACAGGCACGCACCACCATGCCCAGCTAATTTTTTGTATTTTTAGTAGAGATGGGGTTTCATCATGTTGACCAGGATGGTCTCGATCTCTTGACCTCGTGAATCACCCGCCTCGGCCTCCCAAAGCGCTGGGATTACAGACTTGAGCCACCGCGCCCGGCCAGGTTAAACATTTTTACATATCACAGATTCTGACTCATTTTCTACCTTTAAGCTGACAAAAATAACTTTCCCTTAAGACACATAAAACATTTTCCTTATGAGCTGAGACAAACCAAACTAAAACTCAAATCCTTTAATTTTTTTATTTTTTGAGAATGGGGTCTCACTACATTGCCGAGGAAGGCCTCAAACTCCTGGACCCAAGCCATCCTCCTGCCTCTGCCTCCCTAAGTGTTAGGATCCTTAAAAGTGGAAATGTAACACAAAGGATCTCCTCAATGTCACCAATAACATATACTTTGCTTAATGACATTTCACTTATTTCTGCTTAAAGAAATACTTTTCATCCTCTCAGCCTTAGCGCCATTTTTTTTTGGAGACCCCTGAGCCACGAGAGCCAAGTGGAGGAAGAAAAGAATGCGCAGGCTGAAGCACAAAAGACGAAAGATGAAGCAGAGGTCCAAATCAACCGCTAGAGCTTGTTGCACCGTGGAGGCCACAGGAGCAGAAACATGGAATGCCAGACGCTGGGGATGCTGGGACAAGTTGTGAGACTGCATGCTACTGTCTAGAGCTTGTCTCAATGGATCTAGAACTTCTTCGCCATCTGATCGCCGATCACCTCTGAGACCTACCTTGCTCATAACCAAAACTGCCCATGTTGGTCCTTTGCCCTGGACCTGTGACATTCTGGACTATTTCTGTGTTTACTTGTGGCCGAGTGTAACAGCCATAAAATAAATCACATCTTCCGCTGTCTTAGCTGAAAAAAAAAAAAAAAATACCTTTCATAGAACTACATTCATAAAATCGGAAAATGTTACATAAAACAGACAATCTCGGCCGGGCACCATGGCTCACATCTGTAATACCAGCACTTTGGGAGGCCACGAAGGATGGATCACAAGGTCAGGAGTTCAACACCAGCCCGGCCAAGATGGTGAAACCCTGTCTCTACTAAAAATACAAAAAATTAGCTGGGCGTGGTGGTGGGTGTCTGTAATCCCAGCTACTCGGAAGGCTGAGGCAAAGAACTGCATGAATCTGAGAGGTGGAGGTTACAGTGAGCCGAGATCGCGCCACTGCACTCCACCCTGGACAACAGAGCAAGACTCTGTTTGGAAAAAAAAAAAAAAAGACAATCTGTTACGCAAAATTTGAGGCAACTTTATTCTAGAAAGATCCTATGCCAATTAATACTATCTTTATAAATTCTCATAAAGCATAAAAGTCTACCTTTACAGACAGGCTTCTAATAAATCTCCATTACTGTTTATAATTACAATAGGTTTTCTTTTAGAAGTTCTTTTAGAAGTACTTTGTAACCTGGAACCAACCCAAATGCCCATCGATGATAGACTGGACTGGGAAAATGTGGCACATATACACCATGGAATATTATGCAGCAATCAAAAACGATGAGTTCGTGTCCTTTGTAGGGACATGGATGAATCTGGAGAACATCATTCTCAGCAAACTGACACAAGAACAGAAAAATGAAATACCACACGTTCTCACTCATAGGCGGGTGATGAACAATGAGAACCCATGGACATAGGGAGGGGAGCATCACACACTGGGGTCTGTGGGGGGAAATAGGAAAGGGACAGTGGAGGGGGGGAGTTGGGGAGGGATAGCATGGGGGGAAATGCCAGATGTGGGTGAAGGGGAGGAAGGCAGCAAATCACACTGCCACGTGTGTACCTATGCAACTATCCTGCATGTTCTGCACATGTATCTCAAAACCTAAAATGCATTAAAAAAAAAGATAAAAAGAAGTACTCTGTAGTTAGTGCTGGATGACTCTGCAACAGCACTGATGAATGTAACTCCACAAGGTGTACTGATCTCCAGAATATATCATGACATTATTAAAGCAAATCAAACACAGACTGGGAAATTAATTTATGGCCAATCTCTTTTCTTGCAATAAAATTATCTCTTTCCCTTCCAGCTTCCTGGAAAGCAGCCATAAAGTAGATAAGCTTTGAAGTCAGGCCTGCTAACTCATCACTTGAGCAAGGAAAATAATCTTCTCGAACCTCTCCTCTTTATTATTTTTTTATTGAGACAGAGCCTCGCTCTGCTGCCCAGGATGGTGTGTAGTGGCACAATTTCAGCTCATTGCAACCTCTGCCTCCTGGGTTCAAGCAATTCTCCCACCTCAGCTTCCCGAGTAGCTGGGATTACAGGCATGTGCCACCATCTCTGGCTAATTTTTTTCTTTTTAGTAGGGATGGGGTTTCACCATGTTGGCCAGACTTGTCTCAAACTCCTGACCTCAGGTAAACCTCCTGCCTCAGCCTCCCAAAATGCTGGGATTAGAAGCGTGAGCTACAGCGACCAGCCACATCTCGTCTTATATAAAATGGGAAAATAATACCCACCACAAAGGGTTACTGTGAAGAGATAAATGCCCAACAGACAGGTGCTCCCACTCACCAATTCTTTTCATGCTCTAAAATTTCACTATCAGATAATTATCGTTCCCGACCCCTTATCTCTGTGAACAGAAGTCAGCTAATCGCAGATTTCTAGTCAGTGATGCTTATACAGAACCTGCTTTCCACACTGTAAAAGTCAAGAACAGCAGGACAACCTCTGTCAGTTTAGAGAATGCCACATAATATAAAATAGGGCTGTTTTAACACAGACTAGGCGAAATCTGGACCGGCAGTTATTCTTGCTCTTAAATTGCTGCTAGAGAGAATGGCTTACTTAACATGTGTTGCTTAAATTGGTTGGAAACTGCAGAAAAAATTGATTGGGGAAGTTTTACTAAAAAGCTGTATTCCTGAATACCAGATTTCTGTGACCCATGTTTTCAAGGGTGGCTTGCCTCTAATGGACTTGCCTTGAATTTTTTTCCAGGCTAAAGTAACTCTGTCATACTCAGCAATGTTAAGAATTTTGATCAATCACTGTCATGAGCTACAGAGAATGAAATCAATCCTTCTTGTAGCTACTGACACTCCTTCAAACATATTTCAATGACAGAAACAACCAGATTGAATAAAGGTTGGGTTAGCCCTCTAAATTCCACACAACATTTCTAACTTCACATCTCTGATTCTGCTCTTGACCTGCCCTTAATCAGAAACGGAGAACACCTAAATGTTTTAGATTCCTTAGAGAGAATACAATATACTGGATCCATTTTTCTACAAGGTTTCCCGACATGATAGGTAGTCTCCATTCCTCTGCACTGTAGTTTATCCTTATATTAAGCTGGACCATCAGAAAAGTATATATGGGCTGGGTGCGGTGGCTCATGCCTGTAATCCCAGCATTGTGGGAGGCCGAGGCGGATAGACCACCTGAGGCCAGGAGCTGAGGGGTGGAAACCCCTCTCTATTAAAATACAAAAATTAGCCGGGCATGGTGGCAACATGCCTGCTGTCCTAGCTACTTGGGAGACTGAGGCAGGAGGCAGAGGTTGCAGTGAGCCAAGATCACTCCACTGTACTCCAGCCTGGGTGACAGAGTGAGCTTCTGTCTCAAAAAAACAAAAAGAAAAGTATACATGATCTATACATCTATACATGTTAACTATTTAACTGAATTGCACTTAATGTCACTTCCTTATCTTTATCCAGAATCACATTAAGAGACAGTGTTTACCACATTTGATACTGACAACATTTTCTACTGCATTTCTGTGTCCTATGTTACAAAGCTCTAAGTGGGAAAACAGAAATCTTTTAAAGGGCTATTCTCCCACCAAAAGAAACTAGTATAGCTTCTAAATTATGGTGTAGGGGCGTGGCATGGGCGAAGACTCCTAGAACTAAGTATGCCCTCTGTTTTATAGTGTGTGTATGTGTGTGTGTGTGTGTGTGTGTGTGTGTATTTGGCTTTGCCAAAAACCAAATTCGCAGCTCAGTGCTAGCATAACTGAAGAGAATGATTTGTTATTCCTACTATAGAAATGTACAATTTTCCTACTACTGATTTTTTAATTATTTGGATTTTTCCACTATGCATCATTATAAGCCACATTAAATTATATGTGATAATTTTTAAAAGTATTACTGTTTTCCTCCGGTATGAACACACTGCC